AGCCATGACGGCCTCCAGTGCTTCTGGACGCCACAATGGTGCCACGGGACAACACACTTCCGGTACAAGAATTGTGGTGCCGATACCGGTGCATGTGAGCCGTTTAGCGGTCAGATCGCATCACCATCATCTGGAGAAGTGCGCGAGAGCACCGCGCGCGAGACCGACGCCTTCGGGCGAGGGTGGGTCCTCGGGAGCGTCGTCGTCGGTGTTGAGCGATGCCTTGGGACTAGTGAATACATCGGTGAATTTGAGCGGTCAGGTACAGCCGCCTCTGGGTGCCGGCATGGGGGTGGAAATCGGGGTCGGGGGTGGTCTAAGGGCCTTTGCGGTACCAGCGCATCGAGCCGGTCTCGGATCCTCCGGAAGGTAGTGAACGTCGCGAACGGATAAACTTGGATGTTTGACAGAAGAATATGAAAGGAACAAATAGAGGTAGATCGATCAATGGTGTAAGACGCACGCGTGATAAGATGAAGTCGAGTTCTCATTAAAATTGATTATAGTGTCAATCAAAAAATTAAAACCGGTTATGACAAATGTGAAACATTATAAGAAGATAAACACGAACTCTTTCTTTGTCTTATATCTATTGCATTGTGTGTTGCTCGATCAGACAAGGGCACACTGAAATGAATAATTTTTCTTTTAAGTCGAACTATGCATAAGTAACAATAGCATAAAGTTGTTCTGGTATTTTTGGTTTCAAGTATAACTCCTTTATATTTTTAGTAGTCATTTTAAAATCGCTTCCTCATTTTGAAAGTAATACAACTCAAAAACTGTGATTTTCGAGTTATTACTATATGAGTTATAAATATACAAACATTACTCTATCAATTAGCAAAAGTAATCTAATATTTCTTAAAAAATCATCAAAATCGTTATAATTCAAAAAGAGTATCTTTTTAAAGGTTGGAAAATGAAAATGACAAAAATAATTTAATCTCATATTAAAAATCTTTTTTGCTGATATTACTTAGTTAGTCAATTATTTGCCATTAGATTTAAAAAAAAGTTTCTCTTCTGTTTTTGAAAACTTAATTTTTTTGGTTATGTCAGTATATTAGCTTTCTCCTTATTTAATTCGCTTTCTATTACATCCAATTTTCTAAAATTTTTTAAAATACATGAGAATCACTTTAATGAACTCTTAACCTAATAGGACTAAATACCTGGAGTATTTTTACATCTTAGCTTAAAAATGTAAATTGTTATAAAATGGATATCATTTAACATATTTTCTTTTTTAATAATTTTTACTTTTTTGAGAAAATTGTGAGTGAATCCATATCCATAATGTTCTCAAATATTAACAAATCGGAAAACAATTAATATAATATATTATTAATAACAGTGCAAGTTTTAATTGAGGTGCAAAAACACCTTAAGTGATCGTTTACGTAAAAATGATAAGGTGATTAAGATGATTTCGGGTTAAGTGCTTTATCTTTTTTGAAAATGAGAGTTCCGACTTTATATAGCGCGCATTGTAAATAGTAAATAGCAAGTCCTGGAAGTTTGTAAATATACACGTACACGTAGATAGTAACTTGGCATAAACACCGTAACTTGTACTTGCTGTAGATAGTTTACGTTAAAGCAGTGGGTTTCAGTTTGGCCGGCAACTATTACGTGGCAGCGATATCGCGTATCGATCAGCGGTGCGATCATTACAGCTGCTTTACACCGGCGAAACATTACAATAAAGCGGAAGCGCACAAAACGTTGGGCTATAGACTTGCATACGTTGTAATATCGTGTCGGCAATAAAACGTGCGACTATAATCCGAAATATATATCGTTTGCCTCTTATACCCACCCCCGGCACAACTGTGACTCTGATCAAGGAGAATGACTCGTTAAAAAAACGGCACTTACATAATCCCTTGGCAACCAAAAATGTTTACATATTAAGGAAAGTTTATACAAATTGTATTGTTGCAATAAAATCGGAAAAGTATGAACTTTAAAAGTCGGGTAGTTAGGCTATAATTAGTGTAATTGATCCGATGCAACTTTTAGGGTACAAGGAAATCATGTTTTTTAGAAATCAAGTAAATCATGACGTAACAAATCTTAAATCAGGATATTGGATTCTCCCAGAGTCTTGCATCCAAAGTGCAGCATTATCGACGTAACGGGCTTTAAATAATAGATTACATATTCCAAGTTAGTTTGCCGACTTTCAACTCTGCCGATTCGGTCGACGGAGATCGCTAATCGAAGGCCCCCAGCGTTTGCCTTGTTTTGACAATTTCGTCGCGGTCCTCGAGGGGGCCGTCCCGGGTCGACTCATCGTCATCGGGTGCTCCCACGGGATCATCTCGTCCTCCCAAATCGGCGGATTGCGCATTTTCGCAGGCTACGGCGCGTGCGGGCCCCGAGCCTCTAAAAGGGATCGACGCCCGAAATTCGGGCCCCCCTTCGTTCACCTCGTAGGCGTGACCCCATATGCCGGGTTCGGCCAGGCCGCTGCAACTGTAGGACGATACACGATGCAAAACACGTCAATGTGTCAGCCGGCTAATTCGATTTAGCCTCCTTTGACTCGGAACAGCCGTGACTTTTGAAGCGGAAGCACGATGGAAATACGCGAGCACCGAGTTTTTTTTCCGACGCGATAATTGATGACAGGTGATCTCTTCTATTTAGGTAAGTAATAAGAGCGTACGTCATATCAATAAGAGTTATCTAATTTAATAATTATATACCTTTTAAAATACATGATATCTTTGAGACACCGTAATAATTACACCAGTTTACAAAAAATTTAAATAATTTTTAGTGCAAGAAAGGGAAACAATTTTTTTTCGCATTTTGGAACAGCCGCCAACAAAATTTCATTAGGTTGAATTTTTAAGAAATAGCCTTTCAATTTTAATTTTTAAGATATAGCATATCTTTCCAAATATTGAATGTGTCAAATGATCAAGGCGAATGTTTCTACTAAGACTTGAGATAATTGAAAAATTATCAGAGATATTGAGGGGAACGCTTCTGAACTCTAATAAGTGAACTTAATCTAAAGTCATATAAAAAGAAAAATTAAACGTTCTTCTGTTTGTTTTCTAATTTTAATAAAATTTGTCTATATTGTATATATTGGAAAAAAGATATCTTTTCTTATATTTCACAAATCGGACCTGATGATGGAAATATTTCGATGACTGATTTGGACTGAGCGTAAAAAATCCTAAAAACGGTCTTCAGATGTTTCTATATAAAACTTTGTAAATTAGTGTTATAAAGTTTTTCAACTATGATTTTTTTTACAATAATATTACGATTATTAAAGTCCTTAAAAAAACAAATATATAAATGAATAGAAACATCACACTACGGCATAAATATACACTATTCATCAAAATTATATTATTTTGCCTTGTCTGAATCAATGTGACATATTGTCCAAAAATAAAAAAAGTCACTTCTGACAATGAAATGACAATATAAAGTAACAGTATCTGGCTGTCAATTTGGAAGCAAAGAGCAAAAATATAAAACAAGCTACGGCAGAGATTTCTGAATTTTGCAAATAACGGAAAAATTTGACATATACAAGAATATTAAAATAATATAGAAGAAGATGATGAGAGGTGGAAAAACACGATAGTCGTCAGTGGTGGTTGAAAAGGGGGTTGAAGGGACCTCATAGGAGCAAAAGGGGAAGGAGGGAGGGATCGGGATCGTATACAGTGTACACAATAGCAAGGCAGAGTGCATTACGGTTAATACACGAAAAGGACCGGCGCGGTCGTTTAGCCAGCGATCTCGGCAGTTACTGCGCCTCGCGCGAGGGATAAATCATCTCTCCCGACGCCGCCACGCCTACCCGGAGGACACGGAAAGAGCGACTCTCCCCTATACAGCGTGGTAACGTACGATGAGCTGTGGACGGCGACGTTACCACGTCCTTTGCGGTCGATGAGAACGAGCCGACGGCTTCCGGAAGAAGCGGAAAACTAATAATCGTGCCGCGGACGCGCTCCGGAAGGCGCTATCCAGAAATTGCGGCGGTGACAGTGGCTTCGATTGCCGTCGCAAAGAACAGATTAATCGATCGAGGGCACTATGCAGGTCTGTCAAAGATAAGGGAAATAAATGTATTTTTAAAACTCGATTTATCTTTTTATAATGTAGCATTTTTAATATTTAAAGTTAAAATATTTAAATTCTTTTAATATCTAAAGCATTAGAACTCTAACAAATCATGGGATATTGAGGAAATTCACATAAACCACTCAGTAAAAGAATAATTATATATTTTACTATTTGAGATCATGACAACGTAACGTATCATGATAATAATGTCTGTGATCAATTTTTTACTAATTTTTTGGTTCTTTTTTAAATATATGTCTTTGTCTTTAATTATTAAAAAAAGGAATCTGTATCACCTTTTTGCAAAACATTGATAATTCCAAAAACTGTATATTTTCAAAGAAGATGTTGAAGGTAATGAAAAATAGATATAATTATTATATAAATATATTCGAAAATTCAGCTATACTTAGTTATGCAAGATATGCACAAATACAAATTGACCTAAATAAATGTAAAATCAAATTATCTAAAAATGAATCAAAATTTATTTTAAAAAGTTATTTTAGAAATAAGAATGTATTATTTACTCCATTAAATAAATCACGTAATGTAATATATTTCCTCATTTACGAATAATATTATTAAAGTATTATTTAAGCAAAATATTGTAAAAATATCTAATATAAATCGAACTATTTGTTGTCATTTTAATATTATAATTCTACAAACACACACATTGAAAAATTAAAAATTATTTTTTTTATTAATCTAATTTTATATTACGTGTCGCGCGCGTGCACACGTATTTTGTTTGTGTTTTTCCCATCAACTCAAATATAATGTAATTGAATTAAACTACAGTCCCCTATGATTATTCGCTAGCATTAAACCGTTCGTTACCAGCGCGGCGAGCATAAGACTGAAAGGAACGTTTTAATCCGCGCGTTCGCCATGGGCGTGTCGCAGAGTCAACCGCGGGAGAATAACGCGGTCTATTTCCCACACTCGTTGCCATGGCCAAGAGGAGAGATTTTCCCATTTTTCCCGAAAGGACCGTGAAATTGAGCGGACAAATCGCGGCACGAGAGAGCGTAGCGAATGCCCTCTCATGCTGTTCCGGACGTCTGTCGAATGTCGTTCTGTCTGTACTTGATACAATTTCTTCATATTCTTTAAACACGCAATTACGATAAATTTAGTAATATTAATTTTCGATTTCTCACCAATATCGGTTAATCCTTATAAGTCAAGTAATTTATTATTTATTTGTACTATATTAACAATTTTAATTAATTTTGCCAAAAAACAAAGTGTTTATGTAATTTAATTTAATTTATTTAAATTTAAATTAATCTTTCTTAGTAAAAAATGAACTTTAAGTTACATCTATGTTTTTCTTCATCTTAAAAGACATCGGATAGAAGCCTTCATCGGGCATTGAAATCGCTAAATTCTAGAACATGTGAACAGTATAAATTTCATTTTCAATTTGCGATCGAATCGATACTCGAAACC